TTTCTTTATACTGATTTTGGGTTTGCTTTATTCCTGTTTCTCCAAGGTCATGAAGTACAGCATTAATATATGCATTTGAGGTTTCTGTTAAGGCAGGCATTTATACTTCTAAACTCCTGCTGAGAAACACTTTAATTGTTCTTTTCATGTGTATCTTTGTTTTTACTCAATTCTGTGATGTTTAATTTCCTTCCGTTTTTTTTTTTTTCAATTGACAACACATCATTTAATAGTGTGTTGCTCAAGTCTGATGAGTTTTCATACAACTGTAGTTTCCCTTGCTGAACTGGAAAATTTAGCTAAATGTTTTCCTTTGTAAGAACATAGATGTGGTGTGAGGGTAGACACCAGGAGTTGAGTTGGGAGGAAGAGTATGATCAAAAGATATTGTATAAATGTATGAAATTCTCAAAGAATAAGTAAAAATATTATATACATATATATTTTAAAAAGGTAATTATCTTATCTGTGAGTACAGGGGCAAATATTTAGAATGCAGTTAGAGATTATGCTGTTTCAGTAAAGTGGCAGTTGTAAGTTCTCCTCTAAGATCCACAATTTCACTAGCCCTGAGTAGTTGACTAGGTCTCTGCTATCAGATGTGACTTCCCTCTTGTTGTGTGAGTCTTAAGGTCAACAGCAGAGTCATTGGTTACCACGAAGGTGTGGATTCCTCTACTGTACCATTAGGGTCATCCTGTTATGCTGGGCAATGTTGTGGTTTATAGGACTGTTGATTGTCTCCTTTGGCAGCTTGCATGGTTTCTTAAGGAACCATGAAAAGCTAGTCTTCAGTGAGGAGGTACCCAGGTTAGTTCCAGCTCAGGGGATTCTTGGTTCTGTGTCTGAAGTATATAACGTATTAAGCAATAGGTAAAGGGCAATAGCCTTTAATGTTTTGGAAGTCTCTTGAACAACCTGACAATTAACTCAGAAAGAGTGCTTCTTATGCTTGGTGTGGGAGCTTTTGCTCCATTGTCTTTGGCTTCCAGAGGGAACATTGTCAGTCCAGATGAGTACATTTCATTTATAAAGTATATATCTATGTTTATATGTAGACTGATTACATTAATCATTTTTAAGTAGGGAATTAATATGATTCCTATGGATGTTTCAGACATCCTCCCTTCTTCTAAATTTATCTCCCTCCCTACTCTCTAATTAGAGTTCCTCTGCCTGTTTTTCTCACCCCCCCAGATCATTTGTACCATTATCCCTCCTGCCTATTAATTTTCCCACCCCACACCAGGCAATTGTCTCACATCAAGAAACTTCTCTTCATAACAGATGGAGACCATTATAGAAAACCACAAGCAATCAAAATGCAGTTGTGGAGTCTAGTCCCAATAATATCTCTATACCACACCTAAGGCTCAGGGATCATTTATGAAATAGGGGCAATTCCTCTGTTAGGGCCAAAGGAACCAAGTGTTTGTTATGAGATTATGTATTGTAGTAATAACAGAAGCTACACTCAAATTATCACCAACATAACAGCCTAAACCTGAGACGAATAAAGACAACAAGAATAGATATGCTGAAGTAGATAAGTGAAAGCTCACATGGCCTCAACCCTACACAAAGAACCAAAGGCAACCAAGGAATGCCGAGAGGAGGGAAATAATCCTCCCCAGGGAGGAACATACAAATCGGTTATCCAATACCAAATGGTTAGTTCATAAAACATATGTACAACTAACATTATATGAACTGAGCATGTTGAACTTATGCATTTTGGAATATGTATCTATATGTATGTATGTATATATACACATATACACAAACACAGATACAAACATTCATATATGTATGTAATAATAGTGAAAATAGAGGCCATGAATTTGAAAAAAGAGTAAGGAGAGGTATTTGGGAGGTTTGGAGGGAATAAAAGGAAAGGAGAAATGATGCAATTATAATATCTTCAAAAAACATTTATTACTAAGTAAGGTAAAGATATCTTCCTGGGACACAGAATTTTATTTTCTGATTAGGGAACCCAATTTTTAAAATTTAATAACCCAAATGGAATAACCATAGGTCTGACCCCCCACTCAACTCACCAGACAAAAGGATCATTCCCCATGATCAAGCAGGATTCATTCTAGAAAGGCAAGAATAAGCTTACACACAATAAAAATGTGATACAATGTAACAGTCCAGACAGAAATCACATGATCGTCAATTGATGGCTCTGATAAAGTTCAACATAGTCTACATGATAAAAGCATTAAAAACTCTGAAATAGAAGGAACCAACCACAGAATAAAAAGGCAAAATGTGACAAAACTATAGCTCACCTTATACTAAATAGGGAAAAACCTAGAGCGTTGGCACTACAGGAAGACAAAGATATCCTCTTCCTCCACTCTATTCTTAGCTAGTGCAGTAAGATTAAATAAATAAATAAACAAACAAATAAATAAAGCAAATAAGAAAGAGAGAAGTCAGTGTCTCTAACTGAACAAAATACGGTCCTGTGCATAAAGACTAATATAAAATTTCTAAAATGGATAAAGCACTTTTAGCGAAGTATGAGGATATAAAATTCAACTTATAAAAATAAGAGGTTTCTCTGTATACAGACAATGAACATGATGCGAAAGAATCAGCAAAACAATCCCATTCACAATGGTTCACATATTACCTTGGAAAAAGCTAAATAACAAAGTAAAAGATCACTATAATGAAAAATTTAAAACACCAGAGGTGGAAAGATCTCCCCAAGCTCATGGATCAGTACAATCAGCACAATAAAATGGTTACAATACTGAAAGAGATCTATAGATTCCATGTAATCCCTACCAAAATTCAAATGACACTGTAGAGGCAAGCAGTTTAGTTAGTCTACATAGTGAGTTCCAGGATAGCCAGAGCTATGCAGAGAAATCCTGTCAAAACAAAATAAATGGAATGATATGTAATGAGAATTCTAATTTGTTTTAATAATAAAACCCAGAGTCAGCTATAAGAGTTAATCAGAGAAGCAGAACAGGCAGCCACTAGTTCTTACCTCTACTGAATCCTCAGACTGAATGGGCTGAGCTCCTGTCTCTCCCCATCTTATATTCCTCTCTCCACCCAGCCCAGCTACATCCCTTCCTGTCTCCACCTCCCTAGTGCTGTGATTAAAGGCATGTTAACTCCCAAGTACTGGTATTAAAGGTGTGAGTCATCACCGATTGACTCTGTTTCACTTTTAGACTGGATCAATTTTTTACAGTCCAGAGTGGCCTTGAAGTCACAGAGATCAGCCTACCTCTGCCTCCAGAGTACTGGGATTAAAGGTGTGTGACACACTGCCTGGCCTTTATGACTAACAAGTGGCTAGCTCTACTCTTTATTCTCCAGGCAAGCTTTATTTGTTAGATCACAAACAAAATATCACAACGACACCTGTGATGTAGCTTAGGTAGCAGCACAAATAAAAGGAGTTGTGTGGAGGAAGAAAGATAATTCTCCTGTGCTCACTTGGCTCTGTCCCTTGATGCCTGTTGCTGCTGCTGTTGATTCCTTACTGCTATTAGAACTAACATTTCCAGGCTCTGTCATTGACTGAGGACTAGTGGCCCAGAGGAACACTCCACATGGTCTTTGTAAGACTGGGACTGCTAAGACACTTAGCCCATGTGATTAAGTGTCCTCCAGTGTGAGAGAGCCATCATAGACTTGAAGAGGCATGCAGACTCCAGGACAGCACAACTACCTTGTTCTCAATCTCTCAGGAATGAGACAACTGCTGTTACTATTTCAAAGTAAGTTGATTTAATAAGTTCTTTTAACACACATACAGACACACACAGACATAGACACACACACACAGACACACACACACACAGACAAACACACACACACACACACACACACACACACATACACACACACACACACACCACTGTTCTTCCTGATTAGTATAGGTTCAGTTCCTCTAGAGACCCTAATATAACTATTGTCATAGAACTAGAAAAAAGAATTGTTAAATCAATATGGGCACACAAAAGACAGTAAATACCCAAAGAAATCTTGGGCAAAGAGATAATTGTTAACATTATCACAATGTTGGTTTTCACTCCTAAAACACGGACAATATTACTAGAACCAGCATGTTAGTGGTACAAATCATATACAGAACAATAGAATCGAATGGAATAAAACAGACCAGAATTGAATTCATACATAATTAGGGCCATAGCTTTAGCAAACTGATTTTGACAAAGATGCCCAAACCATAAAATAGAGAAAAAAAGTCTCTTCAAAAAAGGTTACTGAGAAAACTGGTTTATCCACACATACAAGTACAATGTCAAAATAGGCCAAACACTGTTGTGAAGTGTTTTAAAAATAGAAGTATCTTGATATTAAAACAAACAAACAAGAAGAGTGAAACTGGATACGTAAACTCTACACAAAATTCAGTAGAAGACATCCTTGTAATGCCATTAGAGGAGAAAGTTGGGAAAACACATAAAAATATAGGCATCAGCAAAACTTTTTAAAAAAGGACTTCAGTAGTCCAGGAAGCAATAGCAAGAACAGAGAAATAGGATTACATGAAATTAAAACAACAACATTTTCACTACAAAGCAAACAATGAGCTGAGTGAAGATACAGCCAACAGAATGGGTCAATATTTGATAGAGTATCAAAAGAGCCACTACCCCAAATCAAAAAAACTCAATTCCTAAGTAAGCTGGTGAACTAGATGGTTCTCAAGAGGGAGTAAGAAAGGGTAATAAACATGAAAAAAATTCAACACCCCTAGCTATAAATAAATTAAAGCTACAGAGCTTCTATCTCACCTCAGAAATGCTGCCAAGGTGTGATGGAAGGGAACCTCATATATTTATGGTGGCAATACAAATCAGTCTAGCCAATGGTGAAACTGTTCTCAATTTTAAAAACTTTTATGTCTATAATTTACATTTGCATTCTAAATTAATATTTATCTCTTACTTTACATTTCTCTGAAAAAAGGGCCCCCAAAACTAGAAAAGAAAGCTTACCATCTTTATCAGCAGTTTCTCGGGGCTTTGATTTTAAAGTGAAGATCTTCCGTAGTTTACAGTTAGCAGAGACGATAATTCCATCCAAAGACTGGAAAACTGCTCCCTTGAATATCTCACTGGTGAATGCGACCAAGTCAATGCACAGATTGCACCACTAAAAACAAGGGAAGCAGATGCAAGTTAGCACCTTCCATGCCCCAGAAGCAGAGAGCCACAGCATGCTTAAAGTTTAGGTGGTTATCTAAATCCTTCAGCTTGGCTGCAGTGTGTTTTCTGTTTGACTCAAGTTTCCTTAAAAGTAGCCTTGATTCTTCTCCACAGACCACCATAATCTGAATGTGGTTAGGTGACTATTGTACTCCCATCTTGAGACAACCATGACTGCTCTGGGAAATAGCTCTCTTGTCTGTGGGCACTATGCTACCGTGCTTAGAACACTTAAAACTTGAACATTGGAGATAAGTAGCCGGTCATTTCTTCAGGGAGATTAATTTGATTACAATTAGCTACTTTAGTTTTGATTTGAAAAAGGTAGGGATTAAATTAGAAGCTTGGTTAAGTGGTACCCAGTACTATCTACTTAACAACCAATTAACCTATTGTACGGAAATAGATTCTTCTAAAGGATTTGTAATTATGCCGGGTGTGTGCCAATTTTGAAGTACTATTGCAGGTACTAATTCTAGCCTATTAAACAATTAGATTCCTTAGTACTTCATCAAATGAATTCTATGGTCTGAAGGAAGAGGAAAAATAACCATTAGTGAGAAATTAAGACATATTTAAGATTGTAAGATAAAAATAAAAAATAATTTTTGAAATTAGAACAAAAGTAGTATTAAAATCCCATGTGTTTCTCTTAACTATTAAGGTTTCCAATCATGTTTAGAAGCGCAGTTTATAAATATGACTTTTCAGGAGGATGTTGATTTTAATACAGAGCTGAGCCTACGGTGTCTCAGTGGTAGATCAGTTAGAGACTTTAGTGTTTTACCAATTACATCAAAAACATTATTATTATTATTGTTTTGTAAAGTTACTTGACTTTTCAGGAGGATGTTGATTTTAATACAGAGCTGAGCCTATGGTGTCTCAGTGGTAGATCAGTTAGAGACTTTAGTGGGTTACCAATTACATCAAAAACATTATTATTATTATTGTTTTGTAAAGTTACATTGCTAGTCCATGAGAGTACTGTGGTCTCTTGGGGAGTACAGAGCCTGTTTTAACTAAGGAGAAATGGGATTAAGTATAGCTGGATAGTGATAATCAGCTGGATTGTGGGACTTTGGGGAGGGTCTGGGTGGAGTATCAAGCCTGTGAAAACAAGTTCTGAAGGCTTAGGAAGGGAACCTGAGATTCTCTACAAGGCAAATGTTTCTGAAGTTCTGTAAATAATAATGTGCAAATGCAGAGCCCTGGGGAGTCAAGTGTGGGTCATCTGTGATGAGAGAATATCTCGGTGATACAAGAGGTCTTTGGGGAAGAGATGGGCTGTGTCATAAAGATCACTGAGACACAGATAGTCTTGTGTCTCAGTTACACAAGTGTGAAGGGAGAAGGCTGTGAGAAGGCTGACATGGGAATCATTAGAATACTTTTTTTTTTCTTTTATCTGTTTTTGGGTTTTCCAGATAGGATTTCTCTGTATTGCTTTGGGACCTGTCCTGGAACTCACTCTGTAGACCAGGCTGGCCTTGAACTCACAGAGAGCCACCTGCCTTTAACCCGAGTGCTGGGGTTAAAGGCATAAGCCACCAATGCCTGGCTATACAAGGAACCAATCTGATAGATATGCCCATCAGGTGGAACTTGATGGCCAGGTGAAGTTCAGATCATAAGGAATGGAGGTGTGGGTTTCCTTTATCCATCAGTATATTATATAAGCACCATTGTTCTATAAATTCTATAAACATAGTTTCTTTTCCTAAAAGACATAACATACCCAAGTTCTAGCTAACTAGTTCAAGCCACCAAGAATCCCATTGATTCTTCCCCAACACATTGAGTACATATTAAGTGTGAGGCACTGGCCTCATCTCTGGAGATACAAACACACACAAGAGAGTTTTCTGTATTAAGAAGAGAGGCAGACATGTGGCTTCTACTTAACACATTTACTACAGAGAGGACTTAGGATGGGTTAGTTTAGAAAAACTAGCTTAAGAATTGTTGAAGTCACAGTCAAACATGAAAATAAAAGCACACCACTGTGTCAAGGTTTTACCTGGTGATCCTGCTAAATCAGTTAACTGATTCTCTTCTCCATATGCAATTTATTTATTTATTTTTGCCAATTTTAGATATCAATCCCCCTGGCCCCATGTCAGATGAGACTTCTGGTTCACTTACACATCTTGCTTTTTGAACTTCATCTTCCCTGGATTTTCATCGTTTATTTATCCTCTTTTGCCCTAGCATTTTATATTCTGAGATTGTAATTAACAGGGCTGTAAATAATACACCCAATGGAGCTAAGTGGTACTTTGTGACAGCCTGACCTTCCACCATACACCTTTCTCCCCTTTTATATTTGAGTTAATTGTTGCTTGTATAATCTGCCCCTTTTAAAAGAATTGACTCTTAAATCTCCTACTTCCTGGGAAAGCTTCAAGATGCCACCCACGTTTGGTTTGGTTTTGAATAAGAAGTTTACCATGTACAGAACAAGAGTGGATATGTTTCTTAGCTCACCTCAGGGCCCTGTTCCTCTATTCCTGCTTATCTGAGCTCTGGGTGGACTGTACTACTAGCTCTGCTAGGAAAATAGAGTCCACCTCCTTCTAACAGAGTCCCAGGAAAGCAGCCTGTGTCCAGGGCAGGCATGATGCTTTTATTCTCTCCTTCTGACTCATTCTTGTTTGCAGTCTTCAATGGATAATGGTAGGTATGTGTCTAAGCACGAATATATGAAGATATGTAATTGCACTCATTTTTACACACATACACACACACACACACACTTTCATCTTTTAATAATTAAACAAATGTTCAATAATTGGTATTTTTTATGGGTCTACCACCAAGAAGGTGGATCCTGAAACAAAAACGGGGAATCCACCTTGGCTACAGAAAATAGAAATATATAAACACATATATTATGGTTTAGCAGATTGTAAAAAGGTTTAATTTTCATAACCTTTAACAAACAATCTGATATTCATATAAATGCTATGATGTATGTTACAAAGTTTGAAGAAGGAGGATCAAATCTACTACTAACAAGTGGATTATATGAAACACAGTTGATCTTTATAAAATAGGTTTTCATTATTCTTGAAAGTATCATCCATTATTAATCCATTATTAATCCTTATGCATGTTGACATTTTCTTCATCTTTAATTACTCTATTTTTGGTTATATATTGTTTATGATTTAATAAAGCCACTGAAGATCAGAGAAGAAAGCAACAAGGCAGCAGCTTTTACCTCTCCACCAAGGCTAAAATGGGGATCCTGTCTTCCCTGTGACTGGAAACTGAATCTCACATGAGACCCTTTGCTTCCTCCTTATCTCTCTCCAGTGCTGGGATTAAAGGCTTGAGCTCTGTTACTCTTTTTGACTGATTCACTCTTGTGAAGCCCTGGATGGCCTTGAACTTACAGAGATCCATCTGCCTCTGTCTCCTGAGTTCTGGGATTAAAGGTGTATGCCACCACTGCCCAGCTTCTATGACTATGGCTAGCTTTGCATTCTGATCTTCAGTGGCTTATCATAAACAATGTATCACCACACTATCCCTACATACAACTTTTATGAAGCAGAGGACAATTACTGACATCCAGTGTTTGTAATGTGAGATTTTAATACATAGGCAACAGAGTGTCCCTCATCTTCACTACATTAAACATCTTGGTAAATGTTGAGTGTACACTTGAAAACAATCTCTCTCTCTCTCTCTCTCTATATATATATATATATATATATATATGATATATTTGTCATCCTGCAGTCATGAGATAAACTTTCAACAAATGTCAAAGAGTTCAGGCTGACTGACAGTGCTTTCATAGCATAGTCTTCCTGATTTTCCAACAGTTTTAAAGGGAGATGACTTGAAAATCCACTACACTGTTTTTGTCTTTCCCCATTTGGTTCTTTCAGTTTTTCATATATTTTCAAGCTCTCTTATTATTTCAATATGTGCACATTTAGTGTTGTCATATGGTGTCAGTAATTTTTTATATAACAAACACTTGAAAAAAAAGGACAATTATTGTGGGTCATAGTATAAGACGTTTCATATTTGCTGGGTGCATTACAAAGCAGAAACACTATGGAGAAGGGTGATGTAGAGGAAAGCAAACAGGAGATAAGAAAGGGCTAGGGCTAGGCACACCCTTCAATGACAGGCTCTTGGAGACTCACTTCCTTCAGTCGGTGTTTTCCCCTGCTGACATACAGTATGCAGTTCCAACACCTCCTGATATCAGATTCAGATTCCTAGTCTACCAATGTATGAAACAACTGATTAGGCCAGAGTCCCCAAGATGAAATAATTTATGGAAACATTCTCAAATACATGCACTTCATTGAATTCCCAGGTATTTCTCACAAAGGAATGCTCACGATTAACCGCTGGGCTTGGGAGGAGGTAAAAAGCACTTGCTATGCAAACCTAAGGAGGACCTGTGCTCTTTATAGATTCTAGATGCTAATCCTGTCAGACTGCCAGGAGAGTAGGGACTGGGGAGTATTAATACAGCAGTAGCTACTGCAGTATTAATACAATAAAAAGGGGACTGGGGAGTATTAATACAGCAGTAGCTACTGCAGTATTAATACAATAAAGAAGCCCGTTGGCAGAGGCTGGAAACTCTTTCCCACCTAGGCTACATGGAACAAACAGCTGGAGGAGCCAGTGACAAATAGACATAAGAGAATTAGGGTGATCTGTACATGACCATTAAAGTTATGGTAAGTCTTTTCCTAGCTCAGTACCTCATTCCCATTCTTGGGAGCCATTATCTTTCTTTTCTCCTCTTCTCTCCTCTCTTCTTCTTTCCTCTCCTCTCTGCTTCTCTTCTCTTCTTTTGTGTAACAGCCCGGGCTGTCCTGGAACTCATTCTGCAGACCAGACAGGCCTCGA